TACATCATGTTGGGGGTATTCTCAGTTATAACAAGGTTATTCCCGATCATTGTGGCAGTCAAATATCATAAAGATCAAGGGGATATTTTTCACCCCCATCATTCAGGGTGTCCTAATTCAGCTAAATGGCAGCTATAATGAACTGACAGCACCCCATGCTGGTTAGTAAGACTGATGCTCAGTCAAAGTATGTTTCAAACTCAGGTATGGATAGTAGTATGTGCAATATAACATCAGGCTGGAATTATCGAGGACTGATGCTCAGTCTAAGCTTTCGGATCTAGGTTGATGCTCAACCATGCTAAAAATTAGGAGTTCGCACCCAATGCTTGCAGGTTCCAGCACCCCATGCTGGGGTTAGTATCAAGCTCGCGACCCAATGCTGGGGTAACATGTACCAATTATAGGTTGATGCTCAACCACAGCAGTTCAGGTTTATACCAACAAGTATTAGCAGGTATTCAGAGTATAAGCATGAGAATCCCCTAACGCCAATTTTTGTGTATACGCTTGTGTCTATGGTTTAAAGATTGTATGTTAATAAACTTGTCATTGTTATGCTCACCTTGTCGTTAAGTTATTATAAATGTTGGTTAATGTAATTAACTAGGTTTATAACAACGGAAGACCAACAAATATCCAACTTCTTATTACGCACTGTTTTTCCTTGATATGCTTTGTTACCATTCACATGGTTTATAAATGTGTGTTGTTTGTACATACAGCCCATCACGGTACATGTAGTATAGAATATTAATTATTTGTATTACGCTACCATTCATGGTTAGTTATCTTGTTTATCCCTGAAGGGAGACTAGACACGTTTTAATGTACACCATATACTGGGGTGAACAAATATTGACATACCACTATTATTTTATCACCATTGTCGCCACGCCAAATATTCCTTGTTTACATAACAGGCGGGTCATTCCCACTTCATCTTCTTTTAAGGAGCCAGTCTATTTTTATTTAATGCACAGGTTATTTCCGCTCATGCGCAGTTGTCTGAAATTCTACTTCCAGTCATGCGCAGTTACTAGCGATAGTTCGCCATGCTGGTATTGTTTATGCTGTGAGTGGAAAGTTCCCACCTCCTCCCTCAACACCACCTCATATATGTATATTCATATGTATTTGATGCATGTCTTCTATATTAGGGGGCTTATCCCTCATTAGTCCTCCAGGGATTCTCATGTAGTATGCTCTACTGCTTTAGTCAAATATCAGTCAAATATCATAAAGATCAAGGGGATATTTTTCACCCCCATCATTCAGGGTGTCGACCAGCTAAATGGCAGCTATAATGAACTGACAGCACCCCATGCTGGGGTTAGTAAGACTGATGCTCAGTCAAAGTATGTTTCAAACTCAGGTATGGATAGTAGTATGTGCAATATAACATCAGGCTGGAATTATCGAGGACTGATGCTCAGTCTAAGCTTCGGATCTAGGTTGATGCTCAACCATGCTAAAAATTAGGAGTTCGCACCCAATGCTTGGGTCAGGTGTTCCAGCACCCCATGCTGGGGTTAGTATCAAGCTCGCACCCAATGCTGGGGTAACGTGTACCAATTATAGGTTGATGCTCAACCACAGCAGTTCAGGTTTATACCAACAAGTATTAGCAGGTATTCAGAGTATAAGCATGAGAATCCCCTAACGCCAAATTTTGTGTATACGTTGTGTCTATGGTTTAAAGATGTATGTTAATAAACTTGTCATTGTTATGCTCACCTTGTCGTTAAGTTATTATAAATCCAATTAATGCTTTTTGTCCCTGTAACGCTGCATATTTTACATGCCTCGTCCATGGTCACTGGTGAAATATAGTCCCAAATATTTATAAAAGCCAATACACTCCAGCTGCATACCTTTATATAACCATTTTTCCTTTTTTGACAATTTGCCTCCATTTTTTAATACAAATTTTTTCGTTTTTTCTCTATTTACAGTTAATTTCCATTTATCGCAGTAACTTTCAAGTTCATTAATTTGATTCTGTAAGCCATTAATGGAAAGCTTGAGAACAAAAACAATGTCATCTGCAAATAGCAATAGGAAAATATGAACTATATCAGGGTGGAGTTGAATCCGTACACACAATTAGTTTCGATTTGTCGTGTTAACTCATTTATAAAAAAAGAAAATAGAAATGGGCTTAGTATACAGCCTTGTCTCACACCAAGTTGCAAGTCGAATGTTTCTGAATAATTATGATTACTTTTAATGCAAGCCTTGACATTTTCATACATATTGCATAAAAGTTTACTCATTTTACCACTGAGACCGTGGGTATTAAATAGAAGCCAAAGTTTTTTTTGTATTGAATCGAAAGCTTTTGAAAAATCTACAAATAATGCGTAAAATTTCCCCTTTAGAGCTTAAATACCTTTGAATAATACTTTGCAGTATAAACATATTATCTACTGTCGTATATCCCTGTCACGAAGCCAGCTTAGCGCAGCTGATCTTATCCATTGAGTCTCCCCAGTTTACAAGTCTTTTATTTATTGTAGAGGTGAAAGTTTTACTAAATATGCTCAGTAGTGTTATGCCCTGTAATTATTTGGATTATTTATATTACCTTGTTTATGGATAGGAACTATTATGCCAATTGCCCAACATCTGGGGAACGTACCAGTTTCTAATATCAAATTAAAGAGCAATTCTAAGTACGGGACGATAAGATCTGCTGAGTATTTAAAAAATTCAGATATTGTTTTATCAATTCCTGGTGATTTATTACATTTCAGTTGGTTAATGCTATCTAATATACACTATAAATGATGTGTTGCCCAAAGGTCCACTGACCATGTATCCCAACAGGAGCTGAATTCGACGTTCTGGTGATTTCGACGATTGCATTGCTCGCGCTATATCGGGTGAGTACGTGTGCGATCGGAGTGCACAAACAGTTTCACTGGTAGGGTGGTGCCCAATCGGCTGTCCTGAGAAGTTTTATTGACCCAATGGAAATGGCGAGAAGTAAAGTTATATAAAGCAAACAAGCATCAATATTATTTACCCGAGATGGATTAATCACCATACTTTAGATGCAAAATCAGTTGCCTTTATAACAAAAAAATAAAGCAAGCTTGAAAATTCAGTAAGATTAGTTGTCTGCTGGTGACAGGCAATATATAACAGGGAAGTTAATGTGATCACAACACTCCCTGCGCAGTGTGGAGCAAAAGTATGGCTCATCGTCAAAAACCCATACAAAACACCCGGATGTTGAAATGGCCACTGTTTTCACCGATCACGCATGTCATCAAACGCTATTTTGTAGGAAACACTTGATATTTTTGTGGCAGAAATAGATGAATATATCCTTTATCACCCCAGGTTAGTAAAATAAAAACTTTAAATGATATTACAGATACAAATTACGTTTTTGTCTTACATCGTCGAAAACCCCTGACACCGGGATATATGTGTTGCCAAAAGGTGTACTGATAATACATATGATGAGTTGCCCACAGGTCTACTGATTGTAGGATGTGTTGCCCAAAAGTGTACTGATAATACATATGATGTGTTGCCCACAGGTCTACTGATTGTAGGATGTGTTTCCCAAAGGTGTACTGAAAATACATATGATGTGTTGCCCACAGGTCTACTGGTAATATATATGATGTGTTGCCCAAAAGTCTACTGATTATATGATGTGTTGCCAAAAGGTCTACTGATAATATACATGATGTGTTGCCCAAAGGTCTACTAGTGATATATATATGATGTGTTGCCCAAAGGTCTACTGACAATATATACGATATGTTGACCAAAGGTCTACTTATAATATAGATGATGTGTTGCCCAAAGGTCTACTGATTATATGATGTGTTGCCCAAAGGTCTACTGATAATACACATGATGTGTTGCCCGCAGGTCTACTGGTAATATATATGATGTGTTGTCCACAGGTCTACTGACAATACATTTGATGTGTTGCCCACAGGTCTACTGGTAATATATATGATGTGTTGCCCAAAGGTCTACTGATAATATACATGATGTGTTGCCCACAGGTCTACTTGTGATATATATGTGTTGCCCAAAGGTCTACTGGTGATATATATGATGTGTTGCCCAAAGGTCTACTGATAATATATATGATGTGTTGCCCACAGGTCTACTGATAATATATATGATGTGTTGCCCAAAGGTCTACTGATGATATCAATGATGTGATGCCCAAAAGTCTACTGATGATATATAAGATGTGTTGCCCAAAGGTCTACTGATGATATATATGATGTGTTGCCCAAAGGTCTACTGATTATATGATGTGTTGCCCACAGGTCTACTGATAATATATATGATGTGTTGCCCAAAGGTCTACTGATGATATGATGTGTTGCCCACAGGTCTACTGATAATATATATGATGTGTTGCCCAAAGGTCTACTGATAAAAGTCTGCTGTTAATATAAATGATGTGTTGCCCAAAGGTCTACTGATGATATGATGTGTTGCCCACAGGTCTTCTGATAATATATATGATGTGTTGCCCAAAGGTCTACTGATAAGGTCTGCTGTTAATAGATATGATGTGTTGCCCATTGGTCTGTAAAAAATATAACATTGGATGTGTTGCCCAAAGGTATGTAAAAATAACAGATAGGATGTGTTGCCCAATGGGCTGTGATTATAGCAGACGGGATGTGTTGCCCGATGGGCTGTGATTATAACAGATAGGATGTGTTACCCAACATTCTGATGATAATGATATACATATCTTGCCCAAGAGCCTGCTGAATATTAATACATATATATATATATAAGTTGCCCCGATGGTTAACACAATACATCCTATTCATCATAAACATCTATTGAATTTAATAGCGTAAGCTTGATTGTTTTACTAATGACCTGCCAATAATATGATGAAAAGCGGTCGTGCTAAACACTTTCTTGACTTCGTATCATGATATGATATGTAATGGGTGTTCACTTATCTTGATAACTAGAAAGAAACTACTAAAAACTGTTGGTACCTTTTCACTTCCAGTGCATCTGCTGATGAACAGTATATCCACCTTTACATTTTAGTACCTTCTCACAGATACTACATCTCAATCCTGAAAAGGTAAAGGAAGAAAATGTATCTGCTGGCATGGAATACACGTGTGTTCAGTTCTCATTTGCTGAATTTACTGTGTATGAAGGACACAAAAACATTAATGCAAATGTATTGACAATTACATGAATCATTTGATAACAACCCATTTAAACACCTGATACAATTATGTAAAACAAATTTATTTGAGAACCCACCCCTGTGATATGAACAGAATGGTGTCAGAACTTTCATACACCTGATTATCTGATGGAAGATTGAATTATTGACTACAGAAAAACAACAAAATGTAGGCAATATGTTAATTTGTATACTCTGTATTGAGAAATGCCAACAATTTCTCTTCATGGGTCTGGTCTGAATTGTGTGCGCTACGAAACACGACACGCATCAGCTCTCTATGAAACATGTAAGATATGAGTAGATAGTAACCTAAAAGTGAAAATGATGTCTCTGTAAAAAACATGATTATTACAGGGATTAATTTTTGAATTGTAAATGTTTGGACATCATGCAAGTGCAAAAGTTAATAGAAAAGCTTAAAAATGTTGAAAATTACCCTATTGATATATGAACAGAGCAAATTCTGCCAGTTTTTAAAAAAATCTACATTTACTGTAAAGTTTTCCATGATCAGAACCACAATACTTGTCTGGAACTCCTTGTTATGAGAGTAAATACAGTTTGTCTTTAAATTTTTCACATATGTCATCAAAGACAGACGATCTGTATGTATTGAGATAATACCTAAAACATGAATTGCTTCACACGGTACTGATCGGTACACAACCATTCAAGATAACTGTACTAATATTGAGAAAGATTAAACAATTTGCAAAGATTCATGAGGCATTACTACATGGGGTATTGCAAGTTTGTGGTGCTGAATTCTAAAGGTAGGCCAGAACATTGTTAAGGTTAGGGATGCCTAAATACATCGATGCATTGATACTTTTTCTAAGACGGTACAATTATCAATACATTCAAAACTGTATCGATATTTAGTTTTTGAAAGTATCTGTTTAAATATGTTGTAATATATATTGTTTACATTTTGCAATTGTATCATGTTTTTTTTATGTTATGAGAGTCATAAATGATTATTTTTCATGCACAAAGATGGGAAATTAGAACTTTTTAATCTCTGAGGATAAAAAATGTTGATTTGTTCATGGACAATCATAAAATATGAAATATTAATGTTCAAAATGTAAATAAATTCACGCAGTAATGCAGCGAAAATAGGTATCATAATACATATCGAATCACGTCATGAGTATAACGTATCGATTCATGAAATTTATGTATCACGCCATCCCTAGTTAAGGTAGAAATAAAGTTAACAAAGTTGTGAAAATAGTATTCACAATTTAAACCTACTAACGTGAAGGTATTGATCTCTGGATCACATAACCTACCCCTTCCTCCCTTTGGAATGCCTCACAGACTCCTCCTCTGATTCTGCAATTTGAAGATCACATTTCTCCTCTTCCAAGCTCAACGTCTCTTGATCCCGTTCATAATTGTCTGCATTATGTAACATCAAAATGTTAACAATATTATTCTCAAAATGATTATGAACTTAAATTCAAAAGTGAGATTAAGAAATTATAATTTTTCTCCTGAACTGATAAAGTATTTAAAATACTACTAGATTTAGTTATCATCCTAACAACATACATAAATTATGAATTTACAATGTTTCATATTCAGAAACTTTTGTAAAATAAAATTAACTTACCAGGCATAAACTGGATTGGATATGATTTCCACGTCTAACAGGACCATCTGAGACTAGCACTTAGTCTCTGAATATATATAATTTTGATACAAACAAATAATTCCTTTTAAACTAAAAAGGAGCTTCAGTGAGATGGGAGATTCCTGAACCCAAATAAAACTAGACTTGCTTCAATTAGGGCTTTAGCATTGCAGAAAGGCATAGATGGAAGTAAAAGTAATGCAGTTCAGGAACTATGAGACAGGCTAGACCTTTCCTGACTTTATAAGTCTTTGTCAACTTTGAACTTGATTTGAAGGGTGACCAAAGGAAAAACCTTGTGCCATCAAGTCAATTTGAATGGAATTTAAGAATACCCATAATATCATAAATAGTATGCATGATTGTGATGAAACATAGTTTCAGATTTACTCACACAATATACAAAGTTATGTCTTTATTCATGGGTTGCTTCTAAGTCATGTTCAGGATGCAGAGATTCAAGTGCATATACATGTATTTGTTTGGGGTTTTGGATCACTTTCAACAAAGCCTCTGAAAAGCCTTATTTCCCAAATAAGGCTTTGGTCGGACCCTTAGCTCTTGCTACCATTACCCCTACTATAAAAAAGTTTGAGACGCCAAGCGGGATACTGAACACCCAATGTTACACCTCCTAGCAGCACCACTTAACCGACTGAGCTACCGGGGACATGGCTGAAGTGTGTTGGTTTAACGGGTCTATCCTGGGGCATTTGGGCTGGATCTATCCTGGGGCACTATGCCATGCGTTGACCTCGATGAAACAGTTTAATGTGAATCGCCTATGATCTCTTTGGTGTTTGTAATAAAGGCTTGCTGGGCTTTTTTCACCCCTTGTTCTATGTACTTTTTTTTCTCGTCCTCACTGATAGCAGACTTACGAGACTTGGATCGAATCTCTTGTTTCATTTTATTATATTTTGTGAGTTCAGAGAGGATTGAACTAAACTCCTCCTCGGAGATCTTACTGTCAGTGAGTGCCGTGGATATACGCTCACTTACTGTGTTCAGCTTTGCTTCAGCCAGAACCCTGATCTCGTCGTGTTTCAATGCCTTACGATGCAGTCTGCGGGATGCAAACTTAAGCACCAACCCTAACACCCCTGCCACCCCAGCTGTTATTTCAATGCCTAGCACTACGGGGGTAGCCACGATGGTAGCTAACAACCCAACACCTGTCGCTCCTAGCCCCATGCTGGTTGTCATAAGGGCAGTATCAGCCCCGTCCACGATATTGAAAGCTCTATGGTACTTCTTACATAGTGCTTTACGGCGTGTCCTTGGTCTTGTTCTAGTTGGCGTTTTACATCACATAACTGTCTCAAACGGAACCCGTCTACGGTTTCCAGGGTCTTCGCTACTTCCTCTACGACTGGGTATAGACCCATTCTGTGTGCCTATAATATATCTGATAAAATATTTTTTAATTGGGTATCAGTTAATAGCCGATCAACGTACTTGAAGTTTATAAGGCCTACGTTCTCGGGTAGGTGAATAGAGGAAAGGTCAATAGGTAATTTTTGGGAATTTACCCTAAATATACTGGAGCTTATTAAGGGGGCAGCAACCCCTCACCCGGCCCCGAGTCCGTCATTATAACGATACTACAATGGCGGTCTTCAAAGCCAATAAAAGAATGGTCTATTCGCACCCCAGATAAAAGGTCCCATGAGAACCCATGGACGTTTTTAAAAGAGTATTATGATTAATGTGGAGCCTGGAGGCATAAACCTAGGAAATGGTGGTAGGTCAGAGTATATCTTAAATGATAACTGTGCATTCCCGGGTGCATCTAACATGTAACCAGGGTGATTTGGGATTTGGGAAATTCTAATTTTTTAGGGCCGTCGGTTGAAACCCCCGAGCAAGATACGCTGTTCTTAATTTCAGCGATATCCCTACCATTATGAAAAGAGGCGTAAGGTGTGGTGAGGGTTATGTTGAGCAACCATTTGGACTCCATAAAGTGGTTGTGCAGACTTCTCATAAAGTCGTCTGGCAGGAGCCTCAGCGCGTACACACCACCTATTAATTGTAGGACGTACAAGGCGTCTTCCTCACCAGGCTGATCGAATCCCTCTAGGTCCCTGAGTGTGAGTTTGGGTAGATGATCGGCCATTACCGCCCGCCTATACACGTTGTCTTTCAAGTGTAGGACGTATGAGCCACCTTCCTCACCAGGCTGATCGAATCCCTCCGTGTCCCCTAGGTCATTAAAGCGTAGTGTTGGGTCGATGACTGGTCATTGCTATAATACTATTACGATATAGTTTCCAACTGGTTTTCTGATAATAGTTCAGGGGTGAACTTCACCCCATGAAGTGTATGTTGTCAGGTAGGAAGATCTTGGTTAGTGATATCGTGTTTTCCACGATCACGGTGACACCCTGCAGACTGGTGTTGGAGCCGACACCCACCCATGCGTAAACTGTGCAAGCGTGATACTGGTGTCGTTTCACCCACCCGAGTTTGACCCCTTCACGATCTCGACCTCATTCCCGATGGTTCCCCTAGGTAGACTTTGATGATCAGTGTTGAGTTAAGCGGTAGACTCTCAGTATCCTGACCACGCCTTCAAATTCAGACACCAACTGCAATGTCACGTTTTGCATTCCCGGTTTACTCGATAGCATGTGGGCTGCCATACTGGCGACTGGGCTGATGGCTGCGCTCGTCTCTGAGTCGGGGCGTAAAGCCACGAGCAGGGTTCCGTTGTTAACGACTTTGTTTAGGTGGTTGTCTTTGTTATCCGTGAACGCGTAGGGGAGCCGAGCCTAATATTGAGAAACCAGTCGTCTTTATCTGGTAACAACACCCACTTGTCATCTTCGGTGACGAGGCGTATATGGCTTGTTCGGGCGACGGTAGTGCTCTCAACATCGTCTAAGTCGAACAGTTTGCCCCGAGCGATGGGTATATTATCCATTTATCATCCCGGTGGTGACTAGGGTGTACCGAGTGTTGACTGTCGCTCTTGTGGTATCTACTATATCACCTAGGGCTCCACGGAGGACTTCAACGCGTTTGTAAATGTTGTTTTTCAGTTGTAAAGTACAATTTACCATCTACTCCGGGGCGTCGAATCCGCGTGTGTCCCGAGGTCGGAGATCCCCACATTGGCGCATTTTTTCACCCGGGCCCTTGTAAGCTGGTCATTTTATGTGAAGCGTTAAGCTGAGGTATCCTATATTCACGGGATTATGATTTATATCTAACACCGATATTATCAGCTCAGGTATGTTGCCCTGAGTCAACCTCTTATACTGCAGCGGTGAAAGCGACTCAGTTCTACCGTCGTTGTATTTTCTCTGTTTTCACCGGTGCGGCTCTCAGTATAGTGGAAGGGTGACCCCTTGAATGTTATGCGTTGTGCTCACCTGACCGAGATGAATGTACAGCTCGGTGCGGTACTAGGTCGGGTAACTTCGTACCTGTGACGGTTGTTGTTGGTTTTATCTCGTCAGGCGGTATACCGAGTGTCCTCGCTAATGGCGGCCGAGCCTCAAGGAGTTTCTTCCGTTGTTGATTAACACCACTGTGCCGTTTGAGTCGTTCATCTTGAGTTCGGCTCCCAGGGGTTTGAAGACCTGCGTCGCTTAGCGAGCACTGCGCTGTAGTAGCCGTCAGTTATCTGGCTCGCGAGCTCCACTGACGAACAGCTTATTGTTGCTGGCGTTGATGTTAGTCCATTGCGGTAGGTAGGTGATATCGCAGAGTCGCGACTTGAGTTGACCCGGACGTATTATCGATCGCGTCGTCAGCTGAGCGGCCTCGCCGCTCGTTATTCCTGGAAGTGTTATGTACATGTTAGAGTATATATGCTCATTATATAATAGTTTTAAAATGTACTCCCCTGGAGTGTTTTACCCTAAACTGGACGTAGATTTCTCACCCATGAAGATCAGCGATTGGCTGATGGGATGTATTTCAGCGCCCAGCTTTTAGATGTGTTCAGCCTGTATAAATTTTCGGTGACTAGCGCTAAGGTAGTTCATGCTTGGTTCAACAACCCGATGCAGTTCTGGCAGAATCAACTCAACTTCGCCGTGTGGTGCGCTACAGCGGGGTGTGGTGTGACATTAACCGACTTTCGGCGTGGACGCTGAGTCAGTCTGTGTTCACGTTCCACGTGTACTACCAGGTCAGGCGTATCCTTAAAGAAATCAGCTCGGTCCCACAGGACAACGCATGGAGCGCAGTAAACAACAAATACGATAGGCGGGCCCTCTGACGTATTTGCAAGCAATTCGAACTAAACACGAAGGCGGATTGGCGTTTGCGGGACCGAACCACGGGTTGGGTATCCCCATCGTTCACAACATGCACCTCGTGGATGCCAGCGAAGTTGAAAGAATGGGGATACAAGTCGTATCATCACCTCACAACGAGCGAGTGGGATGACCGTTACATGGCTTTTCGACAACAGTAAGGATTACGAGTCTGGAGGTTCGAGCAGGGGGCGGATGACTGGAAAAAGTTCATGCTGGACGCGTCGAAGGATTCACTCGTGCGGGGTAATCAGGTTAAGCGACTTCGATTGAGCGTGCGTGTGAAGCTGTTGGGTGCGCGCAGACGCATAAGCAAGCGTTCCAACATCCTCGGTAAAGGGGACTGCTTACGGCGGCTCAGAAACAGTTCGTTGTTAGCGTTGAGGATGCTATCAATGCTCCAGTTGATCTCCGAGTGCCATCAAACGCTACCAAGGCGTGTTGGAATACGCCAGGTCGAAAGTCGACTACGTGTTCGGCGTGGGGTTGTACATGGCTCCGGCGATATGCAACTGAGAGTAAAAAAGTGGTGGGCTACAACAACGAAATAGTCATAGCCCGCGGCGGCCAAAAGTTGGGCGTCAACCCGATGTTAACATCCCCCCGTCCCACCACCCACGACCCGGTGAAATGGGTATAGTCACCCCACCCCGGAGCCTAGGGTTCAACATACACCCCTGTGGGGTCACCCACACACACAGCAGCACATCGACCGTAAAACAGCCCTGGTGGTTGGTGGGGTAGCTTTGGGACTTATTTGGTTAAAATTTCTTAGCGCTTCATTACACCAAACCCCCACCATGGCGACAATGGCTGCCCATAGGTTTTGACTGAGCC